ACCTGCAAAAGTTTTGTCAGAATATGAAACTCCTGCCACGCACATATTAGCTATATAAGGAAACACACATATTGGCACAGGGACACAGATTGGCAAATTTATTATATTTAAAGTCTACTAAAGAAAGTATTTCGCTTTTATCCAAATGTATTTTATAACCAGAGAAGGAACTGTACAAATCCAACTTATTCACTAAATTGGAGAGGGAAATGTCAAGATTTGTGAAAAAAAGGAGAATGTCATCAGCAAAAAGTGACAATTTATGTATGGAAAAACATTTTCTTCTCCTTTGTTCAGTGGAATGTAACAGTGTTCTGCAAAGTTTAAAACATGGAGACCATCCATCTTTTCAGGATAAAATTTGACTGCCTCAGGGTAATATTATTAGATTTGAAAACTGCCAAGTGGAATAAATAGGAAATGCTGTAGAAAGGTATGGTTTAAGAAGTACATCAAATGGCTGTCATGTCTGCTCAAACTCTGAGTCATATGAATGCCCATCAGGAAGGAAGCCATCTTAAGCAGAAAAGAAAAAAAAAACACATTAAACAAGGCGGTTGTGGTTTCAGCTGTAAAGCATCGATAGCCCTACTTTCACAGTTAGTCCAAATAAATCACATGGCCAAGTAGACAACCCAAACCAGAACATTTACTCTAGTGACACAGGAGTAAGCAGTAGGTCACTCAATTTTTTTAGGAAAAAAATTAGCTTAATTGCAATGTTCTCAAATTTAAACATGTTTAAAATTTAATTATCTGACAGCAAGCATGATTTCTAGCATAACATAACAACAATCTAATGAAAGCACTTAACCATTTAAAAAGTATTGTAAATATGTCACATTTGTTTTCTGTCTGTTATCACAACAACATATCTGAAGATTTTGGTATATAGTACATTATCTAATGTAAACTAGTGTGAAGTAGCCTTTTCACTGCTACAGTACTTTTGTAAAAGTCAGTTAAGCGTAAGTTGGCCACACAAGCAGGGGTGAAAACAAGCCACTATAGCATGGTACTGCAGACCACTGATAGATTCTGTGCCGGTATGAAAAACCACGAAGAGGGGGGGCAGCTCTCTTCTATGAAGCTGTTATTCAGAACCAGTCATGGCTGCACTTTGGGTCCGTATAGAAATCTGCTAGCACTATGCAGTTAAAAACAGTGGTTACCAACCTATTTTCCTTAAAGCCCTCCTTCTTACTTTCTAACCATTCTAAGCCGCCCCCCGGATTTTAACTGTCCTTTTCCAGACTCCATTTAGCTTAAAATGTTTATCAAAGTGGGAAAAGAAGAAACTGTATAAATATGCAAGCATCTATTTATAAAATAAATTCATACAAATACATTTGTAGTTGTAAATAGAAATAGCCGCAAGAACATTGAATTGAAAAAGCACTCTATAATCTTTTCTTTTAAAACCAACAATGGTAATAAAAAAAAACCTGCAAAAGTTTTGTCAGAATATGAAACTCCTGCCACGCAAATATTAGCTTTAAGAGGAAACACACATATTGGCACAGGGACACAGATTGGCAAAAGTATTATATTTAAAGTCTACTAAAGAAAGTATTTTGCTTTGATCCAAATGTATTTTATAACCAGAGAAGGAATTGTACAAATCCAACTTATTCACTAAATTGGAGAGGGAAATGGCAAGATTTGTGAAAAAAAGGAGAATGTCATCAGCAAAAACTTACAATATATGTATGGAAGAACATTTTCTTCTCCTTTGTTCCATAGAGTGTACTGTAACAGGACTCTGCAAAGTTTAAAACATGGAGACCATCCATCTTTTCAGGATAAAATTTGACTGCCTCAGGGTAATATTATTAGATTTGAAAACTGCCAAGTGGAATAAATAGGAAATGCTGTAGAAAGGTATGGTTTAAGAAGTACATCAAATAGCTGTCATGTCTGCTCAAATTCTGAGTCATTAATACCCACTATCAGGAAGGAAGCCATCTTAAGCAGAAAAGAAAAAAAAAACACATTAAACAAGGCGGTTGGGGTTTCAGCTGTAAAGCATCGATAGCCCTACTTTCACAGTTAGTCCAAATAAATCACATGGCCAAGTAGACAACCCAAACCAGAAAATTTACTCTAGTGACACAGGAGTCAACAGTAGGTCACTCAAATTTTTTAGGAAAAAAATTAGCTTGAGTGCAATGTTCTCAAATTTAAACATGTTTAAAGTTTAATTATCTGACAGCAAGCATGATTTCTAGCATAACATAACAATAATCTAATGAAAGCACTTAACCATTTAAAAAGTATTGTAAATATGTCACATTTGATTTCTGTCTGTTTTCACAACAAGATATCTGAAGATGTTGGTATATTGTACATTATCTAATGTAAACTAGTGTGAAGTAGCCTTTTCACTGCTACTTTTATAAAAGTCAGTTAAGCGTAGGTTGGCCACACAAGCAGGGGTTAAAACAAGCCACTATAGCATGGTACTGCAGACCACTGATAGATTCTGTGCCGGTATGAAAAACCACTAAGAGGGGGGGGCAGCTCTCTTCTATGAAGCTGTTATTCAGAACCAGTCATGGCTGCACTTTGGGTCCGTATAGAAATCTGCTAGCACTATGCAGTTAAAAACAGTGGTTACCAACCTATTTTCCTTAAAGCCCTCCTTCTTACTTTCTAAGCATTCTAAGCCGCCCCTCGGATTTTAACTGTCCTTTCCCAGACTCCATTTTTATTAAAATGTTTATCAAAGTGGGAAAAGAAGATACTGTATACATATGCAAGCATTTATTTATAAAATAAATTTATACAAATACATTTGTAGTTGTAAATAGAAATAACCGCAAGAACATTGAATTGAAAAAGCACTCTATAATCTTTTCTTTCAAAAACTAACAATGATAATAAAAAAACCTGCAAAGGTTTTGTCAGAATATGAAACTCCTGCCACGCACATATTAGCTTTAAGAGGAAACACACATATTGGCACAGGGACACAGATTGGCAAATTTATTATATTTAAAGTCTACTAAAGGAAGTATTTCGCTTTTATCCAAAAGTATTTTATAACCGAGAAGGAACTATACAAATCCAACTTATTCACTAAATTGGAGAGGGAGCTGTCAAGGTTAGTAAAAAAAAGGAGAAATTCATCAGCAAAAACTGACAATATATGTGTGGAAGAACATTTTATTCTCCTTTGTTCTATAGAGTGTACTGTAACAGGACTCTGCAAAGTTTAAAACATGGAGACCATCCATCTTTTCAGGATAAAATTTGACTGCCTCAGGGTAATATTATTAGATTTGAAAACTGCCAAGTGGAATAAATAGGAAATGTTGTAGAAAGGTAAGGTTTAAGAAGTACATCAAATGGCTGTCATGTCTGCTCAAACTCTGAGTTATATGAATGCCCACTATCAGGAAGGAAGCCATCTTAAGCAGAAAAGAAAAAAAACACATTAAACAAGATGGTTGTGGTTTCAGCTGTAAAGCATCGATAGCCCTACTTTCACAGTTAGTCCAAATAAATCACATGGCCAAGTAGACAACCCAAACCAGAACATTTACTCTAGTGACACAGGAGTAAGCAGTAGGTCACTCAATTTTTTAGGAAAAAAATTAGCTTAATTGCAATGTTCTCAAATTTAAACATGTTTGAAGTTTAATTATCTGACAGCAAGCATGATTTCTAGCATAACATAACAATAATCTAATGAAAGCACTAAACCATTTAAAAAGTATTGTAAATATGTCACATTTGTTTTCTGTCTGTTATCACAACAAGATATCTGAAGATGTTGGTATATTGTACATTATCTAATGTAAACTAGTGTGAAATAGCCTTTTCACTGCTACTTTTATAAATGTCAGTTAAGCGTTGGTCGGCCACACAAGCAGAGGTGAAAACAAGTATGTCACTGCAGACCACTGATAGATTCTGTGCCGGAATGAAAAACCATGAAGAGGTCATCAACAATGATAATAATAAAAAACAAAAAAAAAAACTGCAAAAGTTTTATCAGAATATGAAACTCCTGCCACGCACATATTAGCTTTAAGAGGAGCCGCACATATTGGCACAAGGACACAGATTGGCAGTCTGAGGGAGTGGAGCCTGAACTCAGGACCTCTGGAATCCAAGCGCAATGCCCTAACAACTTGGCTGCCACTCCTCAGGAGTGCCACTTGCATGTATATATATATATATATATATATATATATATATATATATATATATATATATATATATATATATATATATATATATATATATATATGTATGGAGGACCAACTCTGCCATATTTAATAATGAATACAGAAATGAATAAATGCTCAATAAATGAATAAGCATACAATTAATTGCTCCCAAAAATACAATAAACAAATAAATGTAGGTAAAAAATACATAATATAGTGAGAAATAATATATCTATCTCCTTTAATTATGTTCTTTATTTATTCGCCTTTTTAATAAAAGCCTTATTTATTCATTGCCCATTATAATCTTCAAGTTTATTTATTTATTACTTTTTTTTAAGTATTAATTGATGTGCATCTGATAAATATTTTTGTCTGTTTTATTCTTCCTTTGCATTTCTTTTACCCTATTTATTTCTTCAATGCTATTTAATATTGCTTGTTAGTTTTACATTTCTGTCTGCATATCTGCCTCATTATGCAAATGAGGAAGGGGTATGTCTTCAAGGGTTACTAAAAATTTTGTCCTTGTGTATATTAAGGTCTAAACATTTACTTAATATTGTTTTGAGAAAAATCTAACAAATGTATTTTGTCTGAGGAATGTGTTAACTAACTACATTTATTGTTTTCCCTCAAATTTGTAAAACTTTAGGAAGTTGGTTGTTTAACTAATAAAGATTAAACAGCATACTTGGTTTCATAGACTAAAATCTAAATATCCTTTGCTTAGTCTTCTACTTATTGTGTTTTAAAATGAAAACACATACCAAACTGTCCTAAAAAGTTTATGTTAATATACAGGTAAAGAGAAATGGAACTGACCTTTAGACAAGACAAACTTTGGGTCACTGCGATCAAGTTTATCTGGACCTCCTCTTCCAGCTGCACAAGCGTATCCTGCTGTGTCTGTTTGTCCATGAATGATGTAGTAGTTGTTGTTTAAAATTCCATTCATTGTTTCAGGCATCAGCTCATATCTGTAGTGATTTTGTGACAGATCAGGAACAGCCTTATACCAGTAGAACCTCAGTCCTTCAGACGGATTCTCAACAATACACCTCAGAGTTACTGAAGTTTTGGAACTCAGCCATGATGGAGACACAGTCAAGACTGGTTTAAGCTCAGATAAAGAAATTTGGCCTGTAAAAAAATCAAAACTTTGTGATTGGTTGAGTCTTTCACAAAGAAATATCCACAAACAAAATATTGTTTATGTGCATGTGTAATTGATATTTTGCATTATTAATGCCATTTAAACTTAAAAAGTAATGTACTCACATATTAAGGCCAGCACATGGAGCAAAGAGCGGTACATTCTTCAGACATGAACTACAGCAGCTGTATAAATGTGGTTGATCATGACCAGATTAAAGCTTTAGAGCTTCCTCTTCTTTCAGTTTCAGACAACTTTATTAAGGGCATTTCCTTCTTTGACACTTTCAATCGGTAACACCGAGTACCAGGAGAAAAAAAAAAAAAAACGCTGTTTTTAAAATAACATCATCAAGAATAAAATCTTGCAAAGTACTTTGTTTGTTTTCCTACCGTCTCTAGGTATAGCTTTACCCTACTCTGTTTTTTTATTACTTTTTTTTTTTTTTTTCGATTTTATGTAAGTTTCCACATATCGAAAAACTATTGGAATTGGTACCTAATTTTGAAATAAGATTTACTAGCTGTCATCAATTTTTCGCTCTTCACGCTTGTTTTTGCTAATTTCAGTTATGTTTTTCAAGTACTTTAAAAGTCTCCTAAATATTTGTTTGCTCATAAACTGTTAAAACAAGTGTTTTTTAGTGTTGTCTTTATATCCAAGGTATTTTCTCTTAACAATTTACAGCACATATTCTCTAAAAAGCAAACCAAGCTTTTGTGTCTACAGACATCCCAAGTTCCAAAAAGTAATTTCAGGAGATGCTTATCAACCCAAGGCAACCGACTCGCACCGTTGCCCATACATACAGTACACACTTCATCATTCTTCAACCTTCACTAGACATTTTAATTACGAAGTGTGACAGGAATCTGGGCAGGCAGGACTCAAATGACAACGCAGAGTTTATAAAATTTTGTAGTTTAATGGCATTCCAAAGGTTGGTGCACGGAGAATCAGTAAAGAAGGCAGAGGCCAGTGAGGCTAGGCTCAAGTAAGTCTGCTTGACACAGCTTGGACCTTATTGCAGCAGAAGTGTCACTGAGAAATGTTTTGAGCCCACCCCAGTCACTCGATTGCTGTAAGCGAGGTCTTGTTACTTCCATAGTTTGTATCGACTTTCACAGTAATAATCGAATAATCAAGCTGTTTAATACTACTTTCATCTTTATTTAAAGAAGGAAAGAAATTTTATACTTAATTCTAGTTTGGAGTTGATTCAGTATAGTTTGCTTCATGCAGATAGATCTAAAATAGATAGAGGCACACACATCTCTACCCACCACAGTAAACAACTGATTAATTTATAACGGATATTCATTCACACATCTAAACAATAATTGATGCTTCTCCTTTAATACAATCATCTTCATCTGTCAAAACCACAGCAGGAACTTGGAGAACCTGTGGGAACTACAGGACAGCAGAGTTGGTTCCAGTAATTTACATAATCAGTATTATTTAAAGGATAATATATTGATGTATATAAAAAGTTGAAGGTGCAGCACAATCAAATATTAGGGCGCAGAGGCAGAGAAGTGTCCTAACTAACCTAAACCAGCACAAGTTTTTTTTTTAAAAAGAGATTAAAACTCAAAATCATACAGTGCATGTTAACCCGTCTGCCAAACAAATGCACACAATCACATAGCTGTTATGCATCAGAGAAGCTATTTATTATATTGCAATTTCACAGTTCAGACATTATTTTTATTTTTATTTTATTACTTATTTCTATATTAATTATCAATATTATTATTATGGAACAAATGAGTTCAGCCATGAAATAATGCAGATATTAGGATACCAGCTCTTAGCAGGGAAAAAAGAAAACAAAGGGGAAAAAATAAAGAAAGAGAAAAAAAAGGGGGAAAAAAGACATGAAGAAAAAAAGAAAAAAAAAAGGGATACCGGCTCAATTGTAGTTCTGATAACTATCCAGCAGATGCCGCCATTCTAAATTATATCAAATGTTTCAAGTTTTGGCCAATTGTGTCAAATTGGTTCACAGGGCTTCGAAATTGCCATCACTAGCGAAGGTAACTAAAAACACTGGGCAGGGACAGAGTCAGAACACAGAAAAAAAAAAATCCACCAGACACTAGAAAGCTTGGGAAAAAGAGCTGAAACACTTCCTGGAAGAAACAAATATGGGCTGTGTTCAAATTTATGGGCTGCGTCCTCCGACGATGTCATAGCACGGCACTGAGATCTGGTTGGATTCCAAAACTCCTCGTTATGCTGCCTTTAAATGCGTCCTTCTTTTTGCCCGATTTAAAGGATGGGTCCAGTGTCTCCTACCTATCCTTGGTTATCCCAGGATTTATTGAGAGACCAAGCAAGCTGGCTGCTCCATGATCAGAGGAAATGGTACTCGGCACCAAACAGTGGTGAATATTGGAAGCTCAGTTTAATATAATGTGAATAGTTCTGTCTGAAATTAATGAAAATACCTGTTTTAATAGATTTCGAGTGAGATATGTGGCAGGTATTGTCTGATTTTTAAAAATTTTATCTGTTAGTGTGTAAATGGGTTTGGCAGTAATTCAAGAACAGATTCTAATATATCTGCAGTGTGGGGACTATAAATCTGATAGGATTTTTATTTTTCAATTGCTATTTTGCACAATTTGCTTAACTAAGTACTTTTTGTTGTTGAATATAAGAGATTTTGCAGATATATTTTTTTCACATACATTGTTAACATTTACTTATATCTTTCTACCCCTTTTATAGATTGGAAAAGAATAGAAAAGACTAGAAAATCTCTTTATTGTCCCACAATGGGGAAATAACCAGCAGCAAAAAGATTATTGAAAAAATGGTCACACAAATGTGGGCCTTAGAAACATGTATAAGAATAACAAAACAGTGAAGAATTAAAAAATAAACAAAGTGTTTTCAAACTGTTCACCTGGAGAGTAAATAACCATTATGTAGCTTTTTACAGTAATGGATATTTGAAAATAGCAGCAACATCAGAGATGAGCAACATGACAGCAGCATGTTATTCAACTGACTGAGGTTTATGTCATTACATTTTCTTTATTTGTTCATGCTCCCTGTGGTTTTCACCTTTATTCTACTCTGTATTCTCGTGAGTGTGGTCTTTGTTCAATTAACAACAAAAACCGGATCTGATGAATGTGGAATTAGGACTTATTTCCACTTTGAAAATCGTTTAATTTGAACGACTAAGAGAGAAGGTAAATACAGTATTTTCTTCTGAAGATATAGAATTGTGCAGAGTTAAACCCCAGTCTTATATTTTTACCTACTACCGTAAATTCTCTAATATAGGCCCGGGCCTTTATTTCACTCAAGTGCATCGCGGTCCAGGCCTTTATTGGATAGAGGCCAGTATTAGAGACAGGCCTCTATTGCTATTTGAGCAAAACAGACTACCAGTGGAATGAATAAAAATGAGATTTTGAACCTATAAAACACTAGGTTCATTTATTGAAAAAGTACAGTTACCATGTCTCGCTTGGTTTGAAGTAAAAAAAAATATATAAAAATCCTCCAATTCTGTTTAATTCTCCTCCTCAGTTTCCTCCTCCTCTTCATCTCTCCCTTTAATCTCCTCATCACTCGCGCTCCTCCTCATGTTCTGCTGCGTGTCTGTTCTCTTCCTCGCGCAGACGGGCAGCAGCAGGGCTTGTCGTTCAGCTGCGCAGGGCTGTGGTACTTGTATGTTACTTACTACCACAAGTATAATGTTGAGGTATGCCCAGAAAAAACGTTTATAGCCCCGGCCTGTATTAGAGACCGGCCATTATTTACCTCCTCTGACAGCGAGACCGGCCATTATTAGAGACCCGGCCGCTATTGGAATACAGGCCAATATTAGAGAATTTACGGTATGTTCTCTCTGTATCAAGCAAAATAATACATTCATTAAAGTATTAACTTCACTATAAAACTTGAACATCTGGGCTGTAGTTACTCTGTGTAGCCCATTTCACGTATTTTATCTGGGACTGAAAAAATGAATCATATTAATTGTAAAACTCTAAAACATAATACAAATGTAAAATGTGCTTTTCCCCGACAGAGCAACCCACTTAGATCAGTAATTATACCAACATTTTAAAAATACAATATGTATATAATATATAAGATTAAAAAAAATTTTTTTGTCTGTCAATATTCTCCATCCAGAACTACAAGTTGCCCTGCATCCTTATTACTGGATATCTGTGTTTCCTATAGTCATATAATGTATAAGTGCATTTTTAATAGTAAAGGATTAAATGTAACACAACCTTTTATCATTGTCCTACATTGCTTACTGTCTGACTGTTTAAATAGCTCCTTATGTCTATTTTCTTTTTTAGTGGCATCATCTACAAACACAACACTGAGAATGAGCCTAAGTGTATTCAAATATAAAATCACTTTTAACAGTTATAAAAGACAATATAACACTATCTTATCTGTAATTTAATAATATCCAAAATAAACAGCCAGATTCAAGCATTTTTACCAGACATTAATGTTTGTACTAATTTACTTATAGACTGTGTGGAATTATGTAAATAAAAGTTAATATTCTTCCTCTGTTTGTTCTTGTCTTTATCCTATTTCTAGAAGTATAAATAGTAGTGCTGTCAATCGATTAAATTTTTTTAATCGCGATTAATCGCATCAATGCCTGAGTAAACTCGCGATTAATCGCATTTTAATCGCACATTTTTTTCCTGATTGAAAATCATTTAAATACTCTCGATGACATACAAAAAAATACATACAGGCTAGGTTTGTGCCAATGTTCTTTTTTTAAAATGAAAACAGGTCACAGATACTGATTTATGCCAAAAATAACAAATATGTAGCCAAAAAAAAGGCCCTGAAAACAGGCTGATGTAAAAGACAGTCTTTACAGTTAATACAGTCTTTTGAACAAAGACAACCATTTTACCCTACTGCTATAAAATTTAGTAGAGTTAACATTAGATGTTAATTAACCAAGGTAATAATGAACAATTTTCAATCAATACATCAAAATCAATAGACCGACATCACTAGATGAAGGTAGTCTATGCTCTAGAAAGTTACTTTTCAGCCTCTTAACAAAAATGAGAACACACACACAAGCACCCACCCACACATACACACACACACACACACACACGATACCGACCTGTGGCGTCCACAGACGGCAAGAGTGCCGTAGCAGATTCCATTTCACCTCAGTAATCTGTTTTCTCAGCGTATTTCAGGTTGCTAGGCACCAGACACTCAACTTGTTTGTTGGTGGTGGGGTTTAAAGAAAAGGCACTAGCGTCACCCAGTGTATGAGCGTCTTTTTCCCTTGAGGAGCTCCGCTCTCGAAGCCTATGAGAAATGCATACACTGGGGGGAAATAGCCCCGCCTTCCCGCAGGCTGCAGCGGGATGTACTTGGAAAATTGTACCATAAAACCACATAGCGTTAATCTCACGTTAAAAAAATTATCGCCGTTAAAATGGCCTCGTGTTAACGCGATAATAACGCGATAATTTTGACAGCACTAATAAATAGTCAATAAAATTACTAATATTAGGTGGAACCCTAATTCTGCTTTTTAAACAAAAAATAGCAAATGTTTAGGTGACATTTCTTGTTGTTATACTTTATAAGAGAAATAACACCTGCTAATAATTATACCTGAACTTCCTCATTCTTTTTTAATTGGCTGTGGCTAAGAATCAGAAATGTTGATGGCTTACAGCCTTTATTTGCCCATTTTTCCAGCAGTCTTCAGAACTCCTGGCTGACTCAGAATATTTAGGTTTTTTTTATTGGGACTAGTTTTGCAGCCTAATACTAATTGCAGTAACCACGGCATTCTAGTGTGAATAAATTTTCAATATTGTGCTCCAAGCACGGAACGGACTAGAAAACAGCCTATCAGAGAGAGAGAAGGTGGAACCTAAGGCAGAACAACCAATGAGAGTGGAGTTAAACAGTGCAGCACAGTTCCATGCGCTGCTACGTGAAAAGGACAGGAGAGACCAGGCAGAGGAGCTGCGAGAGGAAAAGAAGCCACTGCTGCAACAACTGCTGCTGTAAATTATAAACATGTTGCTCACATCATATTATTGGTAGGAACAAGAAGGTCGGTCCAAGATTTTGGTAGGGACATGTCCCTATGGTCCCTATGCAAACCTACGCCCATGTGTAAACGCCATGCAGAAAGACCCCGGACAAGGAATAAGCAATAAGTAAACAATATTTTCTATTTCTGACCTAACCATGGTCAGGCAAGGAAAAAAACACCACATTAGCTCCTAATATCGAAGTACATTTTACTTACATCTGTTAGTTTAGAATTGTTCTATTAATGCTATTTGGTAAGATTCATTAAATGTACTTATCTTTTGACGGATATAGATTTACAAATTAAGGATATAGATTTACAAATTAATTCCATATTAGATAAAAGCTGTCAATTTGAAGTAAAAGCACTTAGATGGAAGTTTGCAGTACATTTTATATTAAACCCCAAGGTAATATTTGTGCTGGCTTGTGGTGTTCAGCTCAGGGACTGACCTAATATAATAATTAAAGAGGGAAACAGCTGTTCAAACTGTTGCATTCTCACACCAATTATATTCTCCCGAGTGGTGCACGACTTTACACGAGTGATGCAGCTTATTCAATAAAGTCCTTTGAAGTTTCACTGTCTGTCTCGTCAGAATTCTGGGTCAAAATCTCTGAGCTCCCTGACAAGTTTGGTTGTAGCCGGTGTCTCGGATGCATCCTGCTAACCAGTGCAACTTAGTGCTAGTAGGTTCCCAATGGGAAATTACATTGGGACCAAGTAGCACTAAATTGGTGACTTAGTGACGAAACTTTCAAGGAACGCTATGGACAGCAGAAACATGCAAGAGAAGGAGAGTTTGGTGTCGGAGGTCATGGATGAGTCTCCTCTGTCATACATTTTTTATTTAGAGGAGGAAAGCGGGGACGAAGATGTTGTGGAAGAGGACGCCAGGGCAGCAGAAGCTTGGTTTGGTGTAGAAGGCTTACAGCCGTACATGTTTGAGCCCTTGCCTCACAACGCTGCAAGTTCTGTTAGCTCTACGCCAGCTGAAGACACAGTCCATCCATGTCCATCCCCGTCATACACACTCCGCTTTGCTTTAAAAAAATATAAACATAAAATATATAACCGTGAATGTCTGGGGGACAGTGATTTGCCTACATGGTATGAATGCTGGCATACCATAAAGAATACATTATGAACAGTTTAGTTTGAGCCTTCAACTCGTTGCCTATAGGAAGACGTTACTTGGATATAACAAAACCAAACATCGTCGGAACAGCTCCAAATGACACAAAACTCATATTGGTGAGTAGAACATGAAGTAATAACGTAAAATCAAGTGGCCAGTGTAAAAAAAACGGTGTTCCCCTCTAAATATGTTTGACATGGAGCTGAGTGTTTTTTGTTATTAAATTCTTACAGTTGAATAGAAGTTGTGGTGAAATTATTCCAAATATGTTCAGAATTATCTGTTTGATTATGATTTGAGCTTGATTCACTCTTTTATTTGTTCTTTTAACAGACAGTAGAGCGTGTATTCCCAAACAATATATATGACAATCCAAAAAGTATTTGATTAAATATCACATACCACCCCTTCTGGGGTGGTCAATAACTATAATAAAATTGGACAACAATGTTATCAAAACTTAGCACAGGTAGTATTTTTTAAGCTACACTCAGGCGGATGCCTGCAGCTACAGAAATCTTTTTTTATTAAAAGAAAGACATGGAAACAATTACCATTCATGAGTAATACCTCTTCATTAACAAAAATTAAAGTGACTGGTTATAACAGTTTTACTCATTACATCCAGTTACATTTTAATTAGCTCATATACAGCCTTGAAACAAACAAAAAAAGAGAAAAAAAAAACCCACAAAAGACCCAGCACAAAGAACCACCAACACTACATTATAAATAAATAAATAAATTAGACTTTTTTGGGACAAACTCGAGGTAGGATAAAATAAATTGTTTATCGTTACTGCCACCTTTGGTGGAACTAAGAACAACAGCTATACGTAACCCAACCCCGCAACAGGCCCAGGTAGTACTGGGTCTGTGGAAGAACCAAAGCCCCCGGGAATGGAGAGCCCCAGGAAAGTGAAATGACCAGGATAAATGGAAAAGCTGCCCAGGCTTTCCAAAGCCCTAGCTGGCTTTTGAGTGGCATTGGAAAAGGGGCTATAATGATACCAAATAAAAGTAGATAAACTGGAACAATGACTACAGAAGTTTCTCTTCAGAGCTGCAACCAAGGGGATTTTTTTTGCCTATTTGCTTCCTTCTTTTCTAAACAGTACACTATTTTCATCTATGGTGGATTTCCTCTACATTATACTTCCTGCTTTTCTGCTTTTAACAACCTGACGTCTCCATGCTTATTTTTGACAGGTAAATTAAAATTAAATATTCTTGACATAAAGGTCATATATATATATATATATATATATATATATATATATATATATATATATATATATATATATATATATATATATATATATATATATAGTTTTTTATTAAGTTTTCATAAGGTTCATGTTTTTATGCATATGTAAGGTGAAACAAGGACAGGCTAACTAGATGCATTATAAATATATTCTGCTGCTTTTGACTAATGTTGGTGCCAGGAGAACTATTTTGTTTAAGAAAATTTTGTTAGAGCACAAGGGCAGCTCTGTTTGCGCATCATTATAACGCCTACAGCTCATTGCGGTTCTCTCACATCAGTCTGTTAAGCCTTATACAGTATTTTATTGGAATTATTGAAGTCATACCTAACTTCAAGGTTAAATGGTTTAAAATCCAAGCTTAATACTACAGTAAGCCTTTAAGATTTCTAATATATGAAACAAGTTTTTTTTTTATTTGTAACTCATTTTTGACCAAGTCACATGACTCAGGTCCACATATCTGGTGTCCTTCATGAAAGTCTTTGCCCCTCTGTTAATTGTGTCTTTTTTCAATGCTGTGTACTCATCTTTTAAAATTGTCATTAACGGGTATTTGTTTTTTTATTTGATACTAAAAGAATTGATTTTATACTTTTATCTTTAAATATGTAGACAAACAGATATATTTATTGAATTAAACACACATATTAGTTCTTATTACTTATCATTTTTTTTTTTAATCTTATAACAAGCCAATTTTGGTAAAGGAGTATATATCTGCTAGTCTATAAAACAAAGAAGAGAATCTTCTTTCTAAAAGAAATTAATTTCAAAGACAAATTAAATGTTTATCCACTGTAAAAATAGGTAAATGTGAAACATGTGCACTTTTTTTTGAATCTGTCTATACAGAAATATTTTAATAGTACAAACAGGTATTACGTTATTTAGAATTTTGAATATTCAAATCCCCCATCCCTGCCAACAAAGTTATCTGTTGGCTGGAACTCAACCTCATTTAGATCTGCTTCCAACTGAACACGGACTTATTTTTCAGGACAGAGCAGCCATATGTAAGTGTTCCCTCTTCTCACACTTAGATTCTTTTGATTATAAGGGGTTGCATATTTATTATTTGTGATAATGTGTTTAACCTGCATTTTGAATTTAAATAATCATATTTTGGTATATTTATGATGAATTTATTAAGTGTCAGCACTCTATAGGTGTTTTCTACTCTATAGTTGTTTTCTACTTCTTAGAAAGTTTGCATTTATTTAATAGAATCTAATAGAAAACAACTAGCCTTTGTATTTTTAAGCTTCTCAACAATTTTTATTTATATTTATATTTTTTTTCTACAATCTTAAAAAAAAGCCTTTGGCTTATTTTTTATTTTTATTTATTTTTTTTGTATTTTTTTTTTTTTTTGTAGGATTTCTTCATTGATAAATGTTATTTTTAAAGCTTGTATAATTTCTCTAACAGTCAAAGGAGAACGTCTCCATTCAGCAGAGCAAATATGCAGTGGGATCTGCTTTTGCTAATTTGGATAGGTAGGCATATAGATTCTGTTATCGATATTTTCATTAACAAATATACAGCATTTATTGTGTAAGCACGACATTGATAGTTGTTCAAAATGTATACATTTTGAACAACTCTCACAAAGTCTATGGAGTTATCTACTTGCTTCTGTTCTTAATAACTGCATTTTTTGTCTTTTGTTTGTTGCCGATTAAGGTAATTGTTGTTTGATAGTCTGTCAGCTCTATGAGTATCACTACATTAATGAGGAAAAGACCTGGACTGAAGCTCAGCAGTACTGCAGAGAGAATCACACTGACCTGGCCACAGTGTCTAACATGGCAGACATGAAGAGACTCCTCAGTCACTCAGCAGGAAACATGAAGGAAGCTTGGATTGGTCTGTATGATCAAGCAGATGCTACCAGAATATGGCACTGGTCTCTGCCTGGAGTGGAGTTTAATGAAAGTAACCAGCCATGGAGGGAAAACCAGCCAAATGACTATGGGGGCTTGCAGAACTGTGGAATCATATGGAAGAACCTGAAGTGGGGAGACATCTCCTGTAGCAAAAAACAAGAATTTCTCTGCTTTGATGGTAAGCATGTTTTAGTTTTAAGGCTTAACTTAGAAAATACATTCTTGAAATATGCTTTCAAAGAAAATTGTTTTAACTATGACCAAGTTATTATAATGAAAACTAAATCTATCTTTATTTCAAACACTTGAACCAATTTCTCTGTTTGCAATTTCTGATATAACATTATGTTCTGCACATAAAATATACAGCTCATCTGATTGTGTTTACTACACAGATAATAACTCAACAAAGAAATTCCACCTGATTCAAGACAAGAAAAACTGGACTGTAGCTCAGAGTTACTGCCGGGAAAAACACACAGACCTGGCCAGTGGACTGACACAGCTACAGGATGAGGAGCTAAGGAAAGAACTAAGTCCTCTTAACAATGAAACATACTCTTTAACAGGTCTGTTCAGAGACACCTGGAGGTGGTCAGATGGAAGCAGTTTCTCTTTCAGACACTGGAACCTACAGTTTGACAGTGAGCAACACAACAGTGGTCAATGTGCCATGACTGTGTTTGATGATGGAGGCAGATGGAAGAATGAAAATTGTACAGAGACAAAACCCTTTATCTGCTATGCTCGTGAGTTTTATTAATGATTTCTAAATATTTGAAGTAACTGTATTTGTACAGAAACATCTCCACAGGAAGCAATTTTAAAACAAAAACTATATTTTGTTTTAAATATTTTTCGATATTTTGAATTACCATAGGCACTACAGTAATGCTATAAATTATGTAATTATTTACACAATGTTGTTGAATATATTGTTCTTTCTCTTCGTGATTAAACCAGCATCGAGCTTTATCCTGATCAAAGAAAATAAAACCTGGGAGGATGCCTTAAAGTACTGCAGAGATCACTACCATGACCTGGTCACCATCACCAGCCTGGATAAGCAGAGATGGATCCAGCAGGAAGCCAAGTTTGCTTCGACGGATTATGTCTGGATGGGACTGCACTACGCCTGCACTCTAGATTTGTGGTTCTGGATTAGCGACGAAGTGGTCAGCTGTCAGAACTGGGCCTTAGGGGAACCAGTGGATGACTGTGACATGTCTGGAGCCATGGAGACACGAGGAGAACATAAGTGGAGGAAAATAAATGATAGTGAGAAGTTTAATTTTATCTGTTCGAAGAATAGGCAATGATAGAAGTTGTTCAAGAAGGTTTTCAACCAGATAAAAGTGAATCAGCTCTTATTATTTGATAGAAAATCAATAATTAATACAATATTTTTGTAATGTTATTTACAATATGTAGGCATTTTGATTTGATTTAATCATAATTTGTTTTAGAATTTTAGAAATTTCCACTTATACGTATTGTTTAACAGGAACTTCTCTATTTTTCATAAAGATCATTAAAATATAACAGACCAACCCAATAGTCATGCTATTTAAAATCTATTCGATCTCACCCTTTTTGGAGCATCATCTACTTTTGTTAAAGCAACGGGAAGACAGTTTCTCTTTATCTTCAGTCTCAGTTCCAATTCTCTAAAATTGGACTTTTCATATGAAATGCAGAATAAAGGCAAAGAAAATATGTTTATTCAAAGATACATATGTGTTTAGGTAAATTCACACATTTTTAATGTATAAATTAGGAACACATCTGCATTAGCTTTAAAAAAATAAACCACTTAAAATTGAAACTATTCTTTTTGTATTTCTATTTGCTCTTACTTTGTCTAAAATAATTTATTTATGATGTATATACTGTGCATAATGATCTTGTCATTATTATATACGTATGATGTAACATTTTTAAAAGACAACAGGATTGTAAAAAGTAAATTTTTTTGCCAGGAAGTTTTGACATTTATCATTTTGGTTTTAAAATACAAAAGTGAAATTAAAATACAATGGGTTTTCAGTGTCAAAAAAGGATGAGCAAATCATTTTGTTTGAGTTTTGTTTTCATTTTATTAAACAAAGAAATAAACCTTCTTAAAACAGAAATAAAAACGGATCTGTATCTTTTTTCTGTGACTGGATCTTGTCATTTTATATGGGTACCAAATCTGACTGAGTTTCCTTAATACTTTAGGCCAGATTAAAATGTTTTTAAAACAATACCCAGTTATGATTGACATATTCTTAAGGTCATACAGAGAAATCTCAAAATGTAACTAGTCAGTGGGGGAGCAAGAAATGTGATTGAGATTTCACAATGAAGAATAATATGTCTTTACTTTATTAAGACTGGGGACTCTAAAGCACTTCATTCTACAATCAGTGTTACACAATTTCACATGCTAATGGTGGTGAGCTACATTGTAGCCACAGCAGCCCTAGAGCAGGCTGATAGTAGTGAGGCCACTGGCGTAACCCTAACCGTTTCTGAAGGACTTTTGTGGACATGTCCCCACCACCTTTGGCATGGAGGGGACAGTCCTCATCAATAATTTCCTCTTTTCCGCCTTCCTGCTGATTTACTTTAGCTCTCTGGCTGCTCTCGAGTCCCAACTCTTGAAATCCTATTTGGGGTCACTATTCACTGTGTACACAGTAGCTACGTGGAGGAGGAAAGACACAGCAGCACTCAGTGAATTTTAACCGGCAACTACTTTGATGTATGTTTCAGTAAAGATTAGGAATCGGGTTGGTTAAAAAAATTAGAGCTGCCACAGAAAAAACTGTTCGTTACACATACAGAGCTTTTTTTCTTTCTAAAAATGGCAACAGAGTGTACATTTATATAAGTTAAAAAAGCTGGGCTTCTCAGAGGACCGTTACTCAGAGTTACAGATTAAAATGAACACAGATTAGTTGTTTTGTTATTAGACTGCAGAGCTTCTAGATATGCCTAAAATTTATTTCTCTGGCATCATTATATTTGTAGACAGGTGTAAAAATCAATTTTTAAGCAGAGCAGACACACAATTAAGGACAGCTGCTGATTTAAAGGTGAAACAGATTTACTGGGATATGCAACATGCAATAAAATAGATCTGTAAGTTTACAAGAAAAAATACGGTATGCTATAATAAAATTCAACATATCTTTTTGTCTTTTGTAGTTCAGCAAGACTCAGAAATAGCTGTGCCAGTCAACCCAGAGAGAGTCAGACTCACAGGACACAGACTTAAAATTAAGATATACGAAACCTGCAAGAATTAAAGCACAAATAACAAAAATCAGTGTATAAATGATTTTTGAAATACACTACTCAAAAAAATGAAAGGAACACTTCGTAATCAGAGTATAGCATCAAGTTAATTAAACTTCTGGGATATTGACTTGGTCAGGTAAGTAGCAGAGGGGGTTCTTAATCAGTTTCAGCTGCTTTGGTGTTAATGAAATTAACAACAGCTGCACTAGAGGGGCAACAACGAGACGACCATCAAAACAGGAATGGTTTTACAGGTGGAGGCCACTGACATTTTTTCCCCTCCTCATCTTTTCTGACTCTTTTTGTTACCAGTTTTGCATTTGGCTAGGGTCACTGTCACTATGTCACTGTTAGCATGAGATGCTACCTGAACCCTACAGAGGTTGCACAGGCAGTCTAACTCCTCCAGCATGGCACATCAATACGTGCCATTGCCAGAAGGTTTGCTGTGTCTCCCAGCAAAATCTCAAGAGCATGGAAGAGATTCCAGGAGACAGGCAGTTACTCCAGGAGAGCTGGACGGGGCCATAGAAGGTCTACAACCTATCAGCAGGACCGGTATCTGGAGGAACAGGAGGTGCACTCCGAGAGCCCTACAAAATTACCTCCAGGAGGCCACTAGTGTGAATATCTCTGACCAAACAATCAGAAACAGACTTCAAGAGGGTGGACTGAGGGACGGACATCCTCTAGTGGGCCCTGTGCTCACTGCCCGTCACCGTGGAGCTCGTTTGGCATTTGCCACAGAACACCGGAATTAGCAAGTGGAGAACGTTATGCTGCCTGTAACATTGTACAGCATGACCGGTTTGGTGGTGGTTCAGTGATGGTCTGGGGAGGCATATCCATGGAGGGACACACAGACATACAGTATACAGGCTAGACAACGGCACCGTGACTGCCATTAGGTATCGGGATGAAATCCTTGCACCCATTGTCAGACCCTATTCTGGTGCAGTGGGTCCTGGGTTCCTCCTGGTGCACGACAATGCACGGCCTCATGTGGCGAGAGTATGCAGGCAATTCCTGGAGGTTTGAAGGAATTGATACCATTGATTGGCCACCACGCTCACCTGACTAAAATCCAATAGAACACCTCTGGGACAATTTGTTTTGATCCATCCGACGCTGCCAGGTTGCACCTCAGACTGTCCAGGAACTCAGTGATGCCCTGGTCCAGATCTGGTAGGAGATACCATCCGTCTTCTCATTAGGAGCATGACCCCATGTTGTCAGGCATGCATGCACGCACATGGGGGCCATACAAATAACTGAATACCATTTTGAGTTGCTGCAATGAAATTTCAGCAGAACAGACTAGTCTGCCGCATAATTTTTTCACTGTAGTTTTTGGGGTGTCTTTGAATTCAGCCCTTTGTAGGTTGTTAATGATCATTTCCATCAGATAATGTGGCATGCTTTTGTTCCTAGCGCATCACCCAGTCCATATCAGCATAAATAAACAGCATTTTTTGCCCCATTGAGATCTGATGTGTTTTCAAAGTGTTCCTTTAATTTTTTTGAGCAGTGTATACATTTCAATATATAGACTTCTAAATTAGATTTTACTTCTTGTGAAGCGGGATAATCACTGATGCAGCTTAAAGGGAAGCCAGGCATGGATGGATGGATGGAATTGAAGTTGCGTCCATACTAGGGAAGCATGATATATTGCTGTTGGCATCAATGTATACCATCTCCAAACCACCCATGCACAATGGTGAGCAATGGAAAATTTGGTTTTGCTGGAGAATTTTAAAATGATAGAATTAGGAGGGAACGGATTTTGAGGGATTAATAATTTTTCCTGGCCCAAGATAATGACTGGTTTATCAGCTGACCAGAATCCACAGAGCATTGCTCATGGATCTACATGATGAATTGGGTCCATTACTAACAGATCCACCAAACCCACGGCATCCATGTTCCCACAGGTGTTTCACACGGATGACATCAGTGCTAACTCTGATTTAGAAAAAAAGAATAGCTGGGTGCATGCTTCTAAAGAAACACAATGAAATATGAACAACAATCATACTGTAGGTATATGGAAACGAAAATATAGTCCTTAATTATAAGTATAAATAATTGACTTGTTTTAAGATGCAAAATAATCCAGAAAAGATTAGGAATTATCTAAAAATAATTATCCCCAGTGATCTAACATGAGGTAACATGAGGTGGAGCCTTGAAGGCTAACTTTGAGCTAAAGTTGGGATTTATAAAGAAATATTTCTTGGTTTTGTGCATGATCATGATTTTATACAAACTTTGAATTTTTTTTTTATAGTACTTCATTTTTGGATATTTGGGTTATCTAAAATGACCAAAGCAGAAAAATGGATTCCGCTCATTGTTTTATTAATGAGACTCCTGGTCCTCTCTTAACAGTTTCACTCACAACCATGTTATTCAGAGAGTTTTTCAGACCGCTGTTGGAAGCACAACCGCTCTGTGGGGCTTTAACTGAGACTACAGGCCAAACCAGAGAGATGTAAAAGATTTTACAGAATTTGGGACAGCATGCTCTGATCTTTTCCTGGTGAATGTCACAAAGAAAACGATTCCTTCTTTATGCAAGGAAGTCATAATTCTTCTCATCTGCAGCAATATGTTTCCCAACAATCTGGTTTAATGATCATATTCATGGAAGTGCTTTAATGACTCCAGGCTTCCAGTTTTTCATATTTTTACTGTATAGTGCCTTTTTTGTATTTGTACCTGCATTTTGTATTCTAACAGTATTTTGTATTTTTTAAAGTATAATATTATTTTTTCCCTTGTGTACCAGTAAACTTTTTTCTATTTCTTTGCTACTGCCTCAATGGAATCCAACCACATTTGATGTATTATTATTTATTTTGTATTTTTTTCTTTTTGTATATCCCCCTTACAAAATGTCCTCTTTCAACATGGTCTAAATTTTTTTCATTAGAATGATGATCTTAAAAATTGTCTTATATTGGATCCTGGATGAAAGTTCTAGTAGTTCTTCTGTGTTTGTTTCCTCCATTTTCTCTTGCATCTCTGCTATCCTTCTCCCAACAAGATATATGCATGGCGTTAACAAATGGACAACTTGGGTTACAAAAATTCATGCAGCACGTCTTTTACCTGGAGCTTGTAAATATGAGCACATTACCCCAATTTTAGCCTCATTACACTGGCCTCCATAGCGCCCATCCCTATCTTTGAGTTGAGAACCGTCAATATATTTTTAGAATAAGCCATCATGTCAGTTTTGAGTGCCAAGCTAGGGATAGGTGTGTTCCTATGGTAGCAAAAATGTAAGAAACTACATTTGCCATATTAAATGTGTATTCTTTGTCGATTTCCCAAAAACTCATCTCTTGCCTTGGGCC